AAAATAAAGGGGGGGAAATCGGAGGAGGAGTTGAACCATGAGAGACGATGGACTCTGAAAAACAAACTGAGGGTTCTAGAGGGGAAGGGGGTGGGAGGATGGGTTAGCCTGGTGATGGGTATTAAAGAGGGCACTTTCTGCATGGAGCACTGGGTGTTATACAAAAACAAAGAATCGTGGATCACTACATCAAAAACTAATGATGTAATGTATGAGGATTAACATAAGAATAAAAATAAAATAAAATAAAAATAAAAAAAAAACTAATGATGTACTGTATGGTGACTAACATAATAAAATAAAATTAAAAAAAATAAAAGAACAATCAAAAAAAGAAAATTTTCACATTTAATTATTTTTTTACTTTTAAAATAGTGTTACTACAATATTGAAAATGGCACAGCTGGAACAATACAATGAATTTCATTTCACAAATACAAATCTTGTTTGTATTTTTATTGTAAGGTACAGGCTGACCTACTATTATAAAATCTCCTCCTTCATTGAAAATTCAGATGAATGTTGAAATAACAGCATAATAAAGCTGATTCTTACACAAAATCAGAGTATACATCAAGGTACACCTGACCTATGTTTGCTACAAAAGTGACCACTAACCACTAAAATCAAGATAACTTATCTGTTAGTTCTTGGAGGAGGAATTTGGTCTACTCACATATCTCCAACAGTGCATATTGTTAGAAGCAAAAATGCTCAATTAATGTTTATTGAACAGACTTGAGACTGAAAACTATGGCTCATAGACAAATCCCACCTGCCACATGATTTTGAATGGCCTGAGAGCTAAGGGTTTTTACATGTGTAAATGGTTGAAAAAGTTCAAAAGAATAATATTTGCTGACATGTTAAAATTATATGAATTATAAATTCCAGAGTCCATCAATAAAAAAATAGTTTTATTGTAACACAGTCATGCTCAATCTTTATGTATTGTCTATGGCTACTTCCACAGCATAATGGCAGGGTTGAGTAGTAGGGACACAAACTATATGATCTAAAAAGCCAAAACTATTAATACTCTGGTCCTTGAAGGAAAAAAATATGCAGATTCCTGGAATAGAAAAGGTATAAGGTTTATGTCTCCATCACTAGATGGTGACTTCCCTGGGGACAAGAACTTTGTTCTTCTTCACTCTTATATTTGCAGATCCTAGGATAATATGTGGAGCAATGTAAATGCTCAATAAGAATTTTTTGAAATAATAAATATATAAAAGAATAAATGAACATTAATTTTTCACTGATATAAAAATAAACAGATATTAAGACTATAAAGGCTGCAAAAACTTGATCTAGACAGTGAGTGTAAGATTTTTTTTTCCAGTTTTTGTCTTTCACTGTTTATTATTAGTAAAATAATACAACTCAATGTCTAAATCATGCACCTGCCAAGTATTTAGAAATGCATTATGGTTCCCAGTGCCCATCACAAAGGGCAGCATGGAGCAGTTTACGGGCATGCTGATATGAGAATGTCCAGTGATAAATATAATACTTATACAAAAAAAAAAAAAAAACCCTAGAAGTTAAGACCTCAAGAAATGATAAACCAAAGAGGCATATTTTTATGGGAACAGAAACTTGGAGAAAGGGATCAGAACACGTTAGATTCCTTCAGACTTTGGCCTGAGGTTAGGTTGTGGTTGTAGCTGGTGTGTGTGACTAAAATTCTGATAGAAAAGCTGCTGTCTCCTTGGCTGGAAGAATCAAAGAAAGGAAACTAGGCCAGCCAGGTCCACCATAAATAAAGGGAAGGATTCTAGAAAGAAGAGAGCCAGAAGAAGAGGTGGCTTATGTTTCGTGAATAAACTACTCAAATCCCGGGCTAAAATTAAAACATGCATGTGTAGGCAGGGAGCACATCTAGTAAAGGTTAAAAGAACTGAAATGATATTTGAACTTCTGACGACAACAAACAAAACAGAGGTTTCCATTTGAGTCTAAGCAAGTTAACCATCCACTTAGACAAAACAAATTATAAACATCTTAGAAAAAGCCCTTGCAGTTCTCATAAAACTAAACATTCACTGACACAGCATCTCACTTCTAGATATTCACCCAAGAGAATTAAAAACATCAGGACACTGGGACGCCTGGGTGGCTCAGTCGGTTAAGTGGCTGCCTACGGCCCAGGTCATGATCCCAGGGTCCTGGGATCGAGTCCCACATCGGGCTCCTTGCTCAGCAGGGAACCTGCTTCTCCCTTTCTCTCCCTCTGCTTGTGCTCTCTCTGTCAAATAAAATCTTTAAAACAAAACAAAACAAACAAACAAAAAAAACATCAGGACACAAAGACTTATTTTTATATGAATGTTTATAGCATGACATTCCATAAGAGGAAAAAAGACAGAGGTGTCCATCAATAGGAGAATGGATGGATGATCTCATACAATTGCACACTATTCAGTAATAAAAAGGAAATAACTCATGATACATGCTACAACATGGATGAATCTGAAGCATTATGCTAAGTGAACAAAGCCTTACACAAAGTGTATACACTGTATGGGTTCATGTACATGAAGTTCTCGAACAGGAAAGACAAATCCATGAGGGAAGAAATTAAACT